GCCTGATGAGAATTATCGAAAACAAACGTATGTTCGCCATTTCATCTTCTAATACCTTATAGGTATTTCTTATATTAAATTGCAATTAATTTCGGATTGCCCGTGAAAAGTCAGCACATATTTCACGATGTTCAGTATTTTACAGCTTTTTTTCATAAATTTAGATTTTACTAGATATGTGTATTTAAACCTTCAAAGGAAGATACTCCCTTTGAGCCAGTAACAAAAAATTAGTTTTTGGATATTCTTTCTTATGAAGATGGCCGTTTTAGTCATTTCTAGGTTCATCCAAGTATGAAAAATCATGGCCACGACATACGAAGGCATTTTGTTCGCCTTAAATCAATTAAAAGGCTTTTTTGAATAAGTTACCACCTAAAATGCAATTTGATTAGATATTCAGTTAGCGATACTTAATATATTCCCTCATTTGTCATAATATGAGACGAATGCGCTCCTCTTCGACTCCTCCTGCATAATCAGTGGAAGCTTATTTATTTTAAGGGTCGCGATGCGTATGCAAGTCAACTTCCTCCTTTAACATGATATCTCAGATCTACGGTAAGGTGTCCTATTTAAATATTTTTAAAAACAACTGTAACAGTTCAGGATTTTTACATCTAGAGTAATGTTTAGCGATAGTTCGACCGTCGAGCTTGAAGCGGTCCGGAGCTAAAAAATCCTCCTTTCCATAATCGGAAACTGCTTATCTCCGTCCAACCCATTTCTGGAGGCCTCAAAGTTTTGGCTGCCAGGTCTCACGCTTGTCAGCGCAGGTGCTGCTTTACACTGCCTACGCCAGTCAAGCACTGCGTGCGCACTTGTAATAACCTCCGCCAACGAAGCAATGCTAGTCGATGACCCTTTGTGCACTGATTGTCCGCAGCTGGACAAGCCTCGAGTAAATACACCTTGGCTGACACAAGCCTGAACTGACAACTTGCGGTAAGTACTTACAGAGCTTCCTCTGCGCTCCTTTGCTCCAGTATAATTTTTTAGCCTTAGCTGTCTCCCTGAATTAAGTTGTCAGTCCTTGGGAGTTCTGGTATCTGCGTCCCATTGCGATAAAATAACTCATTAGTTTCCTCCGGGCTGACAGCTGTTTGTTAAAGCAACATGTGGCTACTTAATTTATTCTGAGGACGTTTTGTGCCTTTAAAGTGAACTAAAACGTAGCTGAGAGTGGTAATAGGTAAAAGATCGGCCCTGGCACTAGTTGGTGACAGTGAATTGACTACAAGGAGTTCTTCTGGCTCCCACATCAGAAGAGGACTGTAGCGCCTTCCATATCAGACGCCATGCCTCGCCACGCAGGTGGTCACGTGATTGCAGTTCTCGGCCTGCCCCTCTGGGGGTAGCCAAACACAGGTGCCACAAATTTCTATCGGCCAAGCAAGCAGCCAGTGACTCACTCTTGTATTTACGCATTCACGCCCACCTCACGCTAGCAAACACACGCGCGCATGCAGACATTTTATTCAAAGAAGAAGAAGAAGAAGAAGAAGAAACAGATACGATCATTGGAACAATAATTTTATTTTCCAGACGTTTCGGATTCTGTCGAGAATCCTTATTCATAGGTAAACATAGGAGATTGTGAGAGCTGCGCAGATTGGGGTGATACATGCACAGATTGCACGGTATTTATAGTTTGTAGCGGTCATCCGCATGCGTAATATAATTAGCAGCTCACGTAACCACCGCTTGGGGTCTTGATTGGTGCAGTGATGGCTTGAGACTTTGCCTTCGACTCATTAATTGCCGCGAGTTCGTTGACCGTGCGGGCTTGATAATTGTGTACAGAATAAACAACTCCTTCTAGTGGCCACCTATATCTGCCATTGCTTTCTGCTTATTTCTCTGATGATGAATCCGCGACGGATCTCGAAACGTCAGGCAAATAAAAATGTTGTCTCAGCGATCGAGTCGTCTTCGTCACAACTTCTGCTAGTCTTCCAACTTCTTTTCCTACAGGGAACTAGGCATGATAATTGTAGTGCTCTGAGCGCACCCACCACTCAGACACCCATACAAAATTGAACCTTAGGGTCGTCTTTTCTAAGAAATGTTCATGCTTTTAAAAACGAACAGTATTCTGACGTGAGTATATGTCCAAAAATGGCTTCTTCCTTCGTGAGAGGGAACTGATAATCTTCAACCAACTGGAACCATGTGTAAGACCAACTTATTTATACGGAAATTTCTAAATTCGCCATCATAATCAGAAAAAAACTTTACACATTGATTAAGATATGTTTTTGATAAGGACAAGGAAATGTTGAATGATTATTTCGGAACTAGCAGAAAGTAAGAAGACGCAACGCAAGTCTTGAACCCAGTTTCCAGTAGTATGGGCAAGTGAGATAGGTGAATCCAACTACGCCTTTGTTTATTGCTAGTTCACAATATCTCCAAATGTCACTCGACGGACAAAACGGGGATAAGGAGATGCGCAAAGTACACGAAGCCAGATATTTAGACTGACGCATTGAATGCAGTATCCAACAAGTGTTATGGCCAAAATTTTAATATTTTAAGTGCAGCGAAAACCTCCATACAGTTTACGTACGGCATGTTCTATGTGTTAGGAGATTAGTCTGACCAAATTCTAGCAACATTTGGGGGCTTTCCTGAGGCGTCGAGCCTAGCCAAATGCCTTTGTGTGTTCGCTCTGACCGCTTTCTAGGTCATATGCATTCGTGGTGGTTATGCCCGCGCGATGACTGTCATTACACAATGACCTTAGACCCGACACGCACGTACGCATGCACACGAGCCAACTGGTCGCAGTTCCCCGAGGGCCAACAGGTCGCATGACGTTATCCCAATGTGGCCAATCAGGCCACAAGAGAACGCGTGACCTTATCCCCTCATAAGAAATGTTCACATCTTAGACAGAGATTAGCACAGCACAAGGACTGCGAGGACAACAACAGTCCGCTCCCATCGCCGGGGTCAGACCCAAGGCGGGGACATCAGCACGCTGGGGATCAACCAGCGACAACTACCACCCGAGGCAGCAACTCCAGGGTTTGTACACAATAAACCCTCCACTGAGTGGACTCCAGAATTATGCCCTTCTTATTGTGTTCTTCCTTAGGGATTTCAGCAGGGCATAATTCGACGGTGATACACGTCAGATGCCGCCGTTACAACACTGGCAACGCAGAACTCGTCGTAATAACACTATGAACAGGCTAACATTAGCCCGACTTTGATGACTAATCTATTGGATCTATAAAAGTTGAGTTCTCAACAATTTAGATCCTAACTACTTTAGGGACTCACCACTTTCTGCTTCGACGCAGTCAGACTCGTAGACACGGAACCAGAAGATTTTATGCTTCATGTACATTAGCTCGAGATCATGGATGTTCATACCGAAATTCCGCAAATGACATCGCCTAGAGACAATAAAGGAAACAGGTAAAAGCACACGGTAGCATCTCACAGGAATAAACAAATTGCGTTGATGGGGTCATACAGATTCGTACCCCTACCCTGGCTTTCTTCTCGAGGATCTTATCCAAGCCCGTAACCCCCCACAACCCAGTGGAACGTGAACTAACTGCTGTCTATCTTTGATAAAGCACTTTCATCATCTTCTGGAAAGCCGAGACCTTCCAATCTTTATTGGTCATAACGAAGGACTCAGAAGATCCGCCATCCAGACTGCAGTTCGCAGCGTCTCCCAGACATCTGCCACTTAAATTTAACAGGTGAGATATGTCTCGGGAGTGTGGAACGTCAAGCAAAAAAGCTAGTCAGGGGTTTTAAAAATCGCTCTGATATAGAAATATCGGAGTGCCTTAATATATTCTCTTTATGTCACATATGACAAAGAAGCTGTATTACTTTAACTTACAAAATAATACATGCCTCTGAGTAGGGGCTGCGCCCTGAGGACATTTTTTAGTAGTGACTGTCGCCTGGAATACACAATAAAGTTGCGCACGAAAATGCCCAGGCTAAACATCCGCTCGGCATTCTTTGCATAATGGATGGTATAACAATGGAATGATCTCCCGTTGTCAGTTGAGGGGGTGTGACAT